AAAAAAATAAAAAATGTTAACTTCTTTTTTTCTAATGGTATTAAAAAAAAAAGTTTCATTTTCTTTTTTTTTTTTTCTTGTTGCTATTGTTTATACTAAATTTCATTTTAAACACAATGACAACGAGAGAATGATTGACATTATTCTATAACCAATAAATAAAGTGTCAATTTACACAAGAAAGAAAAACGTGTTCTCATACGAACCGTTTTTCTATTTGTCTTTGATTCTATCGCTGTTAGTTGTTATTAGAATTCGTCTTCAATTAACATAGAAGAACGTATAGAAATCGACGAGAAGTTAATGGTGGTGAGAGTGGCTTTGTCATCAAACCAATACATAACAACCACCATCATTGGCAACCAACATCTGTACATAAATTTTCATATTCGTTTTTTTTTTTCTTCGATGTATTTTGTCTATTCTTTTTTTTATAATAAAATAGTTACAACATCTTTTTCACTTTTTTTTTTTCTTTTTGTTTTAAATAAAAGTTTGCGATAAAATGTCGTCTATCATCTTTCAACCGTTATTACATGATCCAATAGGATGGAAACCATCAAATTCAACATATACGGATCATTATAAATGGAGAAAATATCGATCAAGAAGTAAAGATAAAAAAATTTCAACATATGGTCAAAAATATCAAAGACAATTACAAAAACAACAAATAAAACAATGTTTACTTGTACCATCAAATGAAGAAAAAATAAATAATTCTGTTATTGTAGTAAAAAAATCTGAAGATAATCAAGAACGACCTAGTTCACATCGATCTACATCATCAAAATCACCAGTTATTATTGTTGAATATAGACAACGTCCAGCTACAGCTTATGAGGTTAATTTTTTTGTTTTAAAATAATTATAAAATATTTTTATAATCGGTTGTTTTTCTTCAAGGACACTAATTGCCAATCAAAAGCATCACAACGTTCACAATCTGCACTTCCAAATATTGAAGGTAAATAAAACTTCTAGAAAAAAAAAATTTCTTTGTTATTTTAATAGAAAGGACTCGTCCATTGACAGCACCTGAAACACGTCAAACACCAAAAGAAGAAAAACGACCAATTGACCCTAATAATGATAACAGTCGTCATTGGCTTACTTATCCAAATCCTAAAACACCTGATTATATAAATGATATAAAAAAACGTTTAGGACAATTAAAAATACCTTCAACTCTTGGTCGACCATCATCAGCATCGAATGTTTCAATTCAACAACAACAACAACAACAACAAACGCCTCAATCAAATAATCGACCATTATCCGCTTCAACTCAAATTCAACATAAACAACAAACAAATGATGATCAACATCATTTTCTTACATTTAATACTCGTGATACACCAGATGATTTACGTGCTACTCGTTATCGTATTGATAAACATCGATATAATCCATCATTAGATAGTTATCCACCACGTCCAAAAACATGTCCTGTACGTGTTCATGATACTCCTAAACCAATAACACCAAAAGAATCTGAAAATGAACAAATTCAACCAATGAAAAATGATGTATGGATTGTTGAAGAAGAAAAACCATCAAATACATTAGATGTTGAATCGCCATCAATTCTTATACAAATGGTTGATTGTGATGGTTTACCCAATGAATATGTTGAAGCACTTGAAACAGCTAATGCTGCACAAGAAACATATTTAAGAAATTTGAAAATGAATGCTGAAAGAAGACCTGATAATTCCGTTTATCGCCTATCGGAGAATAAAAACGATTCTTTAGTAAGTAAATAATCATTAAGAAAATGTTCATATATATATATATAAGAATTCTTTTTCATCTATATATAAAAAAAAAGGTTACTTATCCAAGTCAACAGCAATCAACAACAATGAATAATCAATTGCGTCAATTAGCACGATCATCACACAATGATTTTGGTGTTTGGGTTCGAAATGCAACAGATAAAGGTTAGACACATAAATTATTTCTTTTCTTTTTTTTTTTTTGAAAATTTTACTTTCATTTTCTTAGAACGAGCATCAGCTATGAAAATTTTACATGAAGTTCTTAATCAACCAATTGTAGGTTATGAAAATCAAACAAAACATAAACCTGTTTTTAAACAAGCACCAGCACCACCACCTATTCGTACTTCATCAGCAACAAGAAAATTAGGTCGTACACGTACTCAACATCAATTTCCATGTGAAATATGTGAAAAACTTCTTATTAAACGTCATGTATGGGATTTAAGTGGGTAAGAAAAATAATTTCTAAATGAAAAAAAAAAATAAAATTTTCATATAATTTCTTAATAATTAAACTATTAAAACAGGTCAGAAAAATTAACTTGTCCTCATCATCCTCAGAGTATTCAAGTTCGAGCATAATAATATCATAGGTTAGAGCATGTATGTCACTTGTGTTTGTGTATATTCACCAATAGATTTTTTTTTTTGTGTTTTTGTTTATGATATTTATTTTATTTTAATATATTATTTTGTTTGTTTTAGCCATGATTGTCCACATTCTATAATTATCAAATGAAAACAAAATATATGAACACATGATTCTTCTTCTTCTTCTTCTTCTTTATTATTTTTTTTTTTTAATCACTTATTTTTTGTAAAAATAAGAAAGAAATTATAAATATTTTTAAAGACAATATGTCATAATAAAAGATTTTTGATGATGAATTCAAAAGTTTTAAAGAATTTGTTGTTGTTGTTGTTGTTGTTCGAAAAATTAAATCACGTAATTGACGACGTCGAATTTCATTACATTGAATAAGTATACCATGTGTTTGATTTATTGAAAATTGTCGAATTTTACGTTCATGACTTGTTAAAATATTTAATATTAAATTATCACGTTGATGATGAATATGTTTTTGATTCATTTTTGATGTTACAAAAATATATTTTGATATTGTTGGAGACATTTCAGTTGTTGTTGGAATTGATATCGATTGAGAAGTTATAGGTTGATTGGTTGTATTATAAATTTTAGGTTCAATAGTATATATTACAGATTTATATTTTGAATGTAATGGTATAGCATTTAATTTTTTTATAAGCTGAAAAAAATGTAAGGAGAGAAAAAAAATATATTATATAAAGATTTATTTCATATAACTAACTTGTTCAAATGAAAAAATAGGTGTTAATTGAGATGAAGTCATAGGTAATACTTTGAATTTTTGTGTTATTATATTCATATTAGTAGATTTATCTTGATTAACTAATGAATGTTTTTTTGTCATTAGTGATTGTGTATGTGGAAATAGTTTTATATATTTTCTTGTACTCATACTTATTCTTGATGTACCAAACGATCGAATTAGTACACAATTCACCTAAATATATTCATAGATCTAATATAAAACAAAAAAGTATCAATACTCACTAAACTTGATATTTCACATTCTTTTAATTGAAAATCAAATTCAGTTCCAGCTGGACAAGTACGTTTAATTGCTCGCATATAATTTGTACCAACATATATGCAATGCCAATAATGTCGACAATTATTTGTATTATATACAGGATGAACTGAATCATCTTCATAACCTGTACAATCAAATGTATCTTCACTATAAATTTGAATAAATAATATTGTTATAAAAATTACAATGGACAGCCATGATGCTGCCATATTATAAATAAAACTTTGTCTAGAACAACATCAATGATTGGTAATTGATCAAATAGTTCGTTATTTTTTTTTTTCTTCTGTCTATGTATACTTACACAATTTAACAAAGGATTGATTTAATTTACTCTAATTGTGTGTGTGTGTGTGTGTCACATCAGTCAAAGTCAATTATCAATTTTTAAAGCTTTTAAATAACATTATTCTATTGATTAAAATTCAAAAAAAAACAAAAATTTCTTGTTACAATGCACAATTCATTGATTTTTTTTCTTGAACAACAATACGTTCAAAATTTTGATAGACATTCGGTGCAAAACTCGATGAAAATTTATGTTCAATAGTTTCATAAGTAGATCTGTTAGAAATATTAGCTGATTTATAAGAATCAAGATGTGTCATTATTGTCTCAAGTATCGATTGTCGAGCATGTTTATGTCTTTTATTTTGATCATTTTGTGATGATGATGATGATGATGTAACTTGTGTAAATGAATGATTATTAGCTTTTGATAAAGTTTCATCTGGATAATCAATTGGAATTGTTGGAATTTTATTTCTATTTTTCCGATAAGATATTGGTGCACTAATTATACGTTGATGTTTTGTTGATCTAAATAAAAATCAAAATGAATTATTTTATTTTTAAAAAAACAAAAAGAAAATTTTCTACTATAACTTACATTGGAGGTAATTTAGTTTTTAAAGTACATTTTGATCGATGTTCTATTAATGTTGGAATATTATTTGATGTAATAATTCGATTTGTTTTTAATGATGTATTATTAGATTGTTTTTTATAATTATTTATTAAAATTTCTTGAGATTGAAATTTTGTTCGTTCTCCTCTTCCATGATTTATATATTCTTTATATAATTGTTCTTCAGATAAACAATTATTAATTGATTGATCTTTAATTAATCGAGTTTCTTGTTCTTTACATTGTCGATTGTAAGCAATTAAATCTTTTAATCTTAATTCATAAAGTTTACAATAATATCCATCAACTACTAATGGTGAATATTGATTGATATAATCTTCAAAAAAATCAATTGTAAACGTCAAAGGCACCTTCTTTTTTTCCATACAAAAAAAAAAAGAGAAAGAAATAATAATAATAATAAGTGTAACGTTAAATCGATTTTGATTAATATAAGCACATTTTTTTTTTCCTTCAGTATTGATTTAAAATTTTAATACTTGATTGCTTTTAATGATGACTAACAAATGATGGCAGATAGATGCTACTAGAGAAACGAAAATTGTCCGATTCTATGAAGCCGTTTGAGTGTTAACAATTATCGAACAAAAAGAAGTTAGTATGAAGAAGAAAAAAAAACACTTTAAAACGATGTTTTCTTTTATAAGATGTAATACAAAAAAAAAAATGAATAGCTTGTCGATTAATTGACTATTATGTACACTACTATTCATTTGTTTTTTTGAAAAATCGTATCAAAAAACTACACTTTTTTTTTGTTAATATAATCGATTAATATAAAAACGCTTAGTTATTGAATTATCAGATTTTTATAAATGTATGTAAAGATTTTATTGACATTTATTACTTCACTTTGTCTATGACAACATAAACAAAGGTTACTATACAGATAGATGATATTAAATCGATCATTTTCATAAAATATCTTACTTTTAATATAATCAATAATTTTTTTTATTAGAAAAATCCTTTTGAATTTTTGCTTAAAAAAAAAGTGCTATAATTTTATTGTGATCTCTGGTAATAAGAAAATGTTACAGAGTATACAGAAAATATTTATCATACACTGTCAAATATTATTAACCTTACAACAAAGATTTTGACATACGCTTTGATTTATTACAATCTACCAGATGGTAATTATATCAGTATTCTCTTGCGTAACAATTTACTCTAGAAACGAGTATTTATATGTAATAAATATATGTTAAGTTATTCTACATATTCTGAAAAACTCAATCCTATAGACTATTGTTCCATCGAGTTATTATTGAAAAATCAGCGTTATGAATGTGACATAAATAAGGACCACGGTTTTCACTGTACTTTTTTCCTTTTACAAATACAGCAAGTCCAAACTGAATACTGAGTTTTTGTAGAAGATCTCCTTAAAATTACTAAATCTCAATGCACAGGTTTTTCTAAATATGCTTAACTTTTCTAAAAAAAAATCGAATTTATTAATTGTTAGTGATGTCAGTGAATATAAATATAGAAATGTAAACTTCTCTCGTAACTGAATGAGAAATTCAAAAAATAATTCTAAATGATATAAATCCTTCTTGAGAATCGTAAGATGATATTAAAATAAAATGTCTCGTTGTAGGACATGAGCAGGTCTTCAGGCAACTGATTTTGAAATTCTTAGATTTTTTCATCATAAGGTTAGACGGGTTATTCGCTAATCATGGGAAAAGAACTTGTTAAAAAGTCTTTATAAAGAATCGAAATTTGTTTTGTTCAATCTTATTTTTCTTTTGAGGTATTAACATTAAATAACTCTTCAATCTAATGATAAAGGAGTTCAAGAGTTTCTAAATAAACTTCATACCAAAAAGTTCATCTATGGTAAAATTTTCAACAAAATTAAACTCTAAAAAAAAAGTCTCCTCAAAACCAGTTTTTGCAGAAATCTGCCCTAGTGCTTAGAACGAGATTTTCTATTTTGCTATCATCTCGAAATTTTTCAAAAGTATTTTTATCATTTAAAATTGATTTTGAAATATCTCATTTAGTTACAAGAGAAGTTCGTACATAGTTACATCACTAACGGCGAATAAACTTAATTTTTTTGAAAAATTTAAGTATGTTCAGAAAAACAACTGTGTACTGAAATTTTATAGTTTGAAGATTTTTCCATAAAATGCATTATTTAGTTTTCAAAAATATTCTTTGAGCTTGCAGTATTTGTAAATTGAAACATAAGTAGCGAAAATCTTTGTCCTTTTTTGTATCAGATCGCTAACGCTAGTTTATCTGAATATCTAGAGTAACTCAGCATTAGAGAGCTGCGGGTTTGAAAATTTAGCTTTTCCCGGGCCCGGGTCTAAGCCTAAGAGGAAAGTCAGACCCGGTCTGCATTAAGTTATGAATGGAAATATATAACAATAACAATTGAAGTTAACAAAATTGAAAAAGAAACAGTCAGAAATAATTTCACACTCATTTGACCTTTAAAGTCGCCAATGAAGAGCTAAAATTGTGTTCCCTTTTCTGTTCATGTACACATAGGATGTCAAATATTGGTGAAAAGAGAATCGGGTCTAGACCCGGCCGGGTCTGGGTCTAGACTCAGCCGGGTCCGGATCTGAAAACTTAGTTTTTCTGGGGCCCGGGTCCAAAAAAACATGAACCCGCAGCTCTCTACTCAGCATATATCTGTAATATAAAAATTAGTTAAAAGACATGCCCGAATTCAGAGATATAAGAATTCTTATTTTACGAAATTGCATCGCTAACGAATGACATTGCGTCCATACGATTTATTTCTTTTTTTGGTTAATAAACATAGATTAATCAAATTATATACGAATATGTCGATATTTGATTATAATATTTTATATTTTGTTTTTTATTGTTAGTAAAGTTTGTCAATATGTTAATATTATTGACGTCAAATTTAAAATACAATGAAATCTCTTCGTTTTATTTTATACTCTACAACTTGAGCATACCAAGTAAAATTCAATCTCTAGTTGACATAAACAAAATGTTAGATTGAGTGAAAGATTTACATTAAAACTCGAATCAAATTCTTATTGATGAGTTCTATCACAGCAATAGCATGTAAGATAATATAATCATTGGTTGTCTAAATAAAGTTTGAATCCATAAAGTTATGGACGGTTTAGGATATAAGAATGGTTTCAAAGAAAAATTATTCATAAATGTTTGAAATCTTAATTTAATTTATTCATTGAGATGAGTGTACTCTATTTCATATATACGAAATAATTTAATTCAATAAATACATATTCTAACAATTATCAAATTATTCATATTATTTACCAATTTTTTTTGGTATATTTAATATCATGCATAAGTAAATTTCATAACATTTGCCTTTGATACATGTCTTAAATTAAGCAAAATCTGAGACCTTCGATTGAGCACATTCTCTGGAAGTGTTTAGTCTCGACTTCTTAAACGTAGAATTAGATTTTACTATTTCAACTATTTTTTCATAATTATGGTGCTGTTAATACTCTGTTCGAAACACAGTAAAAAAAAAAACTCCTATCATAACAATTATAATTAATTCTAGTGCATGTAGTTTATCCTTTTTCACAAAATCTCTTTGATTATTCTACGACTAGTCAACCGAGAAGAGATCAATTTTCAACAATACACGAGTCGATTCTATATCTGTATTTTCCAAGAAATTTTCGTGGTTTTAGTTTTTCGAAGACTGTCTTTCTTTTTATTTGTATCAGCATTAAATAAATATTCTTATATAAGTTAAACACGACAGATGGTGTCAACAACGTGAATACATTATGAATATATTACTATTTCTGGATTTGAATGACAAAGAAACTCGTGTTTAAACTTATTGATCGTTTTTCTCAGAGCATAATCTTCCATCAGAAGAATTGAAATTCTTCCCACTCTTGTTTGATATAAATATCATTTTAAAATTCTACAATGGATGAATTTTGATTAACAAAATATGTTTGTTTTATACTAGGTGTTCTATGGAACTATTTATATATTGTTTCTGCTACTCCTTTCGTTACACATACTGCATAGATATATTGTTGACTTCAACTTTTTATTTTTCCATTATAATTCATCATTTTATGTATTTACACCTTTATCATATATCTTCCTCTTTACTATAAACTTAACCTATGACTGTATTGGTTAATAAATTATACCATTAACCTCCTAAATACCAATAATTCTTACATTCTGTACAAAGGCAGAGAAAAAAAAACAAATTACTTTCTCTTTCGTTCTGTTACTGTCAATCAGCTCTAGGAATATTCTATATTTTATCATATATATCCCATAGATTTGTGCTATCGTCTTGCTATTCTTTTTTCTATGTTGTAAGAAAAAAAGGATCATCTTCTATGCTATTATTGCGTTAATTTTGAATAATTTTCTCGATCACATCGATCTATTTTTATATTTATTGAATTACATTGGGATGAGCTTACAGGATCAATATATTAAGCAATATTCATTCAAAATATTGTTGCAATAAATCTATGAAGAAAAACAACTTCAGTGAGCCGTGAGCGGCCGCTCGGTGGTTATCAAACGGTCGTTCCGCTCAGTAAAAAAGCTTACGGAGCGGTCAGCACCGCCGTTCGCTCATCGATTGCTAGGGACGGTGTACGTCTCTGCTCTGTACTTCTTATAATAATAAAGTTATCAGTGTCAAGCTGAAACTTTTACAGAAAGCATCTCTCACTAGAATCACTTATTCCTGAAAATTTCAGCTCAAATGAACTATTCTAAGTGGTACATCGATTGTAAGAGCAGGATTCCCTTAAGAACTTATGGTGCTAATCAGAATTTAAATATCATTAGCTTCCCGTAGTATCAAAGATTTGTTAATAGCTAATCATTATTGTACGTTCGTAATGGTATTTTGTTTTAGAATATTTCATGTATCTGATTTATAATGCATATCTATTGTTTTGTGTATGTCAAGGTATCGGTATATTTTTTCAAAAATGAATGAGACAAAAAAAACAAAGAAGAAAATGGAATCAAACAAAAAAAAAAGACATGAATAGTTATTTTCTCATTATATATTAGTAGAAAATATTCTACAAAAAAAAAAGAAAACCGTTGGTCATCTCCTACAAATTATGTTGACTAAAGGAATCAAGAAAATTAGTCTCATCGTGTGAAAAATTTCTATGATAATATATTTGTTTTAACTTTCAAGTTCCAATCCTAAACCAACTTTATGTCCACCAGCATTCAAATTTCGAGCTTCAAATAAAGCTGATAATGTTAATTTAAAGCCTAAATAATCATTTTATAGATAAAAAAAAAACAAGAAAACAATTGAAAAATGTATACCTGGACGAAGAATTTGTTGAAATGAAAGTCCAACTTGACACATATT